TCATTGATTCGGTTTTTTTTTGCGTCGATCAAAAATTATATCGTTGACGATGATGCACTATCGCATTAAGTGTGTTTTTTTTCGAACTCGATTTGTGTTTTCTACCTTTCCATTTGGCGTAGTTCATGTTGGTGTCGGTATTTCCAAAAACTAATTGGATGTTTTGATCTCACACCAACAAAACAATCAAAGCAAACTGTGTGTGAGTGTGCTTTTTTGCTTGTGGTACAGTTTTTTTCTTCCATATTTTCTCCTATGTTTAACTCTAATATTGTACGAGTGATTGTCGTTGATTACGGTGGTGCGTGTGCATCAATATACCTTTCATTCTTCAGTACTCTTTTTTTCTCTTCTCAAACACTCAAAACCATAAATACCAACATTTGTGTACGATGTCGAAATATTTGGGTGCTCAATTTGAAAATCGCGTGTACGAGATCAACTCTTTATTTCAATTTCATTGAAGGTATTAGCAATAATTGCGCTCATTAAACGCCATAAATGATGGAATTCAACCAAATATTAATCACGCAACTCGAACAAGAAAAAAAAAACGGTTTTTACTCGAGAACGGATATAATGTTTTAAATTTGAGCACCTTTTTTGGTGCACAGTTCGACTGTCAGCAGCTTTTTGGGTGCTGCACTCTTTTTTATTAGATGCAAACGATCAAACCATTTAGTAATTGAGCTGAAATGATCTTTTAAGTCGACGATCGTATAAGCGAAAACCTTCATCAAATTCCTAACTTGTATGAACCTCAAGCCTTTGTTTAAGATTTTCGCCAATATCTGTCATGAAAAACGAGGGAAATTTCAAAAAAAGTCAAGGTTGAGTTTCTTCCAGAATCGAATCAGAACTGTGGATTTCTCTCTAGAATTGAATTTTTTTCCTATTTGAATTTCCAGCATTTTTTTTTATCGGATTCCATTTTTTCACAATTCGCACAATTTCAGAATTTTTCCACGGTTTTTTAATTGGCGTCAAATTGAACGGGACGATGAGTTGTGAATGTTTCTTTTTCTTCTGAGTTGTTACTCAATTAAATGATGATTAATTACGTATTTCGTATTGAAACAAAGATCTATTAATTAACAATCCCATGAGATGTGTGTGTGTTTGGACATCATGGTGCGGGAAATACTGTTCTCACTGAATGCAAACTATGCTGAACACCGGGGCCCACCAAAGATGCCCATAGAAACATACGGCGTGGATACAACGACGATGGCGGCTTCGATGCAGCCGAGTTGGTTTTGTTGTTGATTGCCAAGTTCATAAAATAAAATCCAATAAAATAAAATCGTTGTAAAATTGTTTGGCATTTGGTTTGTTTGTTGTTGCGTCCAGCCGCATGGCTTTCTGTCTCTCTTGTTCGGCGCAGAAGCAGCCAGTCGAGGCAAATAAATCGAATTCAGAGAGAAAGAAAATCGTGTGCGCTTGGTCTAAAAAAAATGCCGCTTGAATTGAGCATTTCCATGGTTTTGGTCCGAATAGTGATCAATAGAGCGACAGTGGCACATTAATCGCATCGCCGAAATAGCAACAACAAAACTAACGGCGGATGAAGCAGAATAAAAAATGAATCGATGCTTCGGCAACAATGACTTTCAGCTGAAGTCCACAATCCACACACAAATAAATTCATTCCGAATGAGTTCTCTGGACTTCAAGGACAAAATCCAGCGCACACACACAAACATTTTATGTTCGCCCCATTGTAAATGCAGATGAATGTGAAAAATGAATACGATGTGCGCGCGATTTGGCGATACAACGTTTTGTGAAACGAATATTCGCTAAAATGAAAAGCACTCGATGAATTTCAAAGTGAAACACTATTCAATTGATGGAGAGAATAGTTTCAACTCATTTGACTGTTTTGGTTGTTGTTTTTTTTTTATTTCTTCGCATCTTCCTCTTTCATATCTGGCTATTTGCACCGTGGGTAATTGTAAGAGGCATACCAACGAAAAATTTTCCAGCCAAGACAAGCGGCGGGAAAGAGCAAGCGAACGAACCGAAATGAGCGAGAGAAGAAAACGAACATCACTCTTTGGCGACAAACACAAAGCGAACAAATAAATAACAAATAATCGTATTCGCTCGGTTGTTTTTTTCTTCATTCTCGGGTTGGGCAAAGGGAAGGAAGGAGAGCGCGAAATCGACAATTCGATATGATATGTATATATTAGCTATCGGAATAATATTGAATAGGAAAATTATTTACATTATTCATTTGGCCGTTGCTTTTTGTTTCTTTCACTGTGTCGTTGGTGCAATGAGTGGCAAAGAAGCGCGCGAGTGTAAGTGAGTGCACGCGATTGGAAAAGGCAGCTTAAAATCCATTCGGCCATAAAATTGCATTTTGGATAAATTGACGACATTTTCTGCCGCATACTCAACATATCTATACGGCAAAAATGTATTTATATAGCTGTTGCCAACTGCTTGTGAACAGTTCTTTTTATGCATGCACCTAGAGCGAAGTGCGCGCAGGTTTCTGTCGTCGTTTCGTTTCTTCTTCTTCTTCTTCTTTTTTGCAATTCTATTTGAGTGTATTTCGCTATCTCTCTCACAGAGAGACATTTCCATTGAATGGGTTTTTGAGAGTTGAACCTTCTGCTGGACTTAGCGTAAATCTTTCGCCAAAATGCAATCCTTCAAAATCGATTTGAATGCAATTGCTGTTCTCTCTCTCCCTCATGTTGTTGCCTCCTTGAATTCGAGAATAGCGAATGCAAATTTGTCTAGCAGTTGAAAACACGAATAAAATATATACACACACTGTGTGAGCAAACGCATTGCGTATATGCACCGGTCGCGCGGGATCAACATCAAGTTCACATGAGAAAGCAAGTATGTTGTTGTTTTTTTTCTTCTTTTCTACTCTGCAGTGCCGTAATCGATTGTGCACAACGGGAATGAAGGAGCATATCGAACAAGCCCAACAAATATGCGCGCAACGTAACTTTCGACCATAACAAATGCGCACAACGTACTTTACTAAAGTATTTTCCTTCATTCGGTGTCGGCTGTTGTTGCTGCTGCTGCTTCTTTTTGTTGTCCCTGTTTGCTCAATCCCATTGACAGCTTACCAATAAACTTGCTAATACATTTATTGCGATTGTCAATTTAGATGGCGAAGCAAAATGAGCAAATAGCCCAACCAACAATCGAATAATAAATGCAACAAATGTTTTATTTAAAAATTGTGCACCGATTTTTACGATTGCGACCGTCGTTGCCATCGCCGTTGTTGTTGTTGTTGTTGTTAATGCTGTTGCCGGCCGACGATGAGATGACGGCGAACCTGTCGACGACCACAAAATGCGTAGACGCGCGATATAGCGCAGCAATGCAGTACAAATGCAGGGGAATGTCGAGTGCATGTTGTTGCTTTTGCTGTCCACATTCAATCGAATAATCGAATAAATAGTTGAGGTCGTCGGTTGTTTGTTTTACTTATTGCATTTTATTTCATCATCATCATCATCTTCCTCTTCTTCTTTGCGATTTGTTTGGCATTTATGTGAGCGCTTCGCTTTTTTTCTTCTCCTGCAAACATACACTCACAATTTTCTCTATTTGTTCTTCTGGTGCAATTGGTTGTTCTTTCTCCATCTCTCGATATCTCTTCAGGCAACCAAGAGAATATTCTCTTGTCCATTGCGCGAATTTGCGGTTTTGGTGTGGTGTGGTGTGGTGTGTGTGTGTAATGGCAACAGGGGCATTTTTAACTTGCAAAATAGTTTGTTGTCACTTGAAGTCGTCGATCATTGTGAAAATGGGCTTTTTGCACACAATATTTAACCATCAGTCACATGAAAGAGACTCTCAAGTCCACACAATGAGCGAGAGCCAAATGCATTTGTGGCCAAACGAAAATTTATGGCGATTTAAATGAAATTTGAATTTGTTGGCTTTTTTTTTGCTGCAGTTTCTATCCAAATATATTCGGCAACAGCAACAGAAGAAGAAGATTTTGTTTATTTGCAATGCTTCAATTTGTTTGCAATGCGCGCACATGCGCATGTCTTTTCGCTCATACGTGCCGGTTTGCCGCAGATATGGGAGAGATCGCAAGTTGGGGTCATTTCAATGGAATGAATCTCCATAGATGAAATAATCATTTAGGCCATTGAATTTGAATGAAATTAGACATAAATGGAATCAACTTGCTAATTGTATTAATTTGAATGGATTGCTCTATTGCTATGCACACATTCCGTCTCTAGTCGTTTTTGTTGTTGTCGTTCAATGTAGGAAAATAATAAATCCCGTCCACTGATCTCCCATTGAATCGAATCGAATTCAATACTCAATCCACCATAAATATTCTAGCTCAGAAAATTTCGCACAAAAAATTGCGATCGCGCTTCAACACTCGAATGAGTGAGCGCGCGCTCGCGTCCATGCGCGGCTCACACGGTGTTTGATTTGTTTGTTTACATCGTTGGTGCCGTTTCTCTTGGCGGCAGTGTGAAGTGAGAAAAAGGAAGCAACATCAACGGTAACAGCGGCAATAGCAGCAGCAGCAGCAGCAGCAGCAGCAGCAGCAGTGCATTGAAGCATTGATTGATACTTTTATTTGGTATTTATTGTGAATGCTTGATGGGCACATCAAGTCTTCAGGCTTCGATGTGTGCTTTCTTTTCTTCTTCTTCAATACAATATACCACATTGATATATTTCAAGCAAGACAATTCTTGAATAATTCACACACACATAGAGACAAACACAGCCAATGCATCGCCGCGTAGAGTATAATTGTTTGACGGCTTAAGTGTAACGTTGCATTCATCACCCAGCCGTGGCAGTTCAATCGGTTTCCTTTTCCGTTCGAAAGAGATCGATTGTGATATTGAGGATTTTGCTTTTTTTTTTGTTTTCTGCTTTTAAAACAATATTTAGTTCCCCATCAATTTTCAGTTCCTGCAATTCAAATTGACAACAGCAACAGAAAAAAAAGAAGAAGAAGAAAAATGGTCGGTATTTACCTTGCATCCTTCGCATGTGAATGCACCGAAATGGAAGCCAGCCGCCGGTTCGCCGCACACTTTACACTGTTGATTCATCTGAAAATGAAGAACAAACAACGACAACGAGAATGAGAAGAAAATATATATAGGTTTAATCAATTAAATCAAAATGCACACAGAAACAAGCAAAAAAAACCGAGTAAATAATAAAAACACCGATGCATCGGAAAGAGGCTTGAGATCGTAGAGACGAACGCGGGAGCGATCGGTATAAAAACGAAGCGATCGAATATTAATTAGTTAACACGTTGTTTGGCGCAGATTAAAACATGCGGTTCTACAAAACGCCCCGTTTAATTGTTGATTTATGTTAATTTCTTGGCCATATTGATTACGTTTAAAGCGTTTTCTCATCAATTTGGTTTGGTGTGTGTGTGCACTGCGCGCGCGCCAGCGAGCAAGATCTCTTTCATTCGGTTTTTGTGAGCGCGATCGAGCACTGGTGCTCGCTTTGCTGAGAGCCGTTTTTCCTTTTTAATTAAGTAACACGACTCGATGAATAATTATCTATCTCACCTTCGGTGTGCAAGCGCGCAAGACTCAAACACATCACAGCGCCTGCATTTTAACCATTGTCGGCACACACACACACACTCTACATAGCCAAGTAAGCAGAAAAATTTGTTGATTTTCATTGGAGATTTTTTTTGGTATGTTTTATGTCTTTCCATTTTTTGATAGAATGTTTTTCCATCAAAATCTTGCTCGAGCTGAATGAGTGCATGTGGAACGAATATCTTGGGGGAAATGATTTTTTCCAATGCCTGTTAGCCGGACGAATAATTTTTTGACACTTGACACCAGCGCCGCATATTAGTAAGAAGTTGAACTAAAAATAACACCGAACTCCTACATCGGTCACAGTGTATACTGTTTACAGTTGTGACTACCGCGGCGCACTCGTTCGTTGCTAGCAGTCATTGATTTCTTCTATTTGAAATCGCATCAATCAAATCAATCCTTGTTCCACCTTATTCACTTCCCTGAATCGTTCTCCAAATGTGACCCTTATTTCGAAAGTGTATGGTTACTATTTTTGGAGCAATATTTTTCCGTTGAAACCACAATGTGTGTGAAATTGAGCGGTAAGTATCGAAGATACTACTACACAATACACACACTTTGTACTACTCGATGCACATCACAACTGGAATGAAATATGGTCATATGCGCGCACTATTCATACAACAACAACAACAGAAAGGAGAAGAAGAAAAAACGGCGAACAGATTGTGCGCGCGGCGTTTATTGTGCTAAACAATGACAACAAAGAGCCAAGACTAATATTGCGGCAACCGATAATAAGAGCAAACACACAACATAGAGAGGCGACGGCGACGACGACCAAGTGAAAGACGTCGCAAAATTAAGTGCCGGATCGTCCGAAGAGCACATCGACAATGAGGCCAAACAGACAATCATACACTCGCGCACACACACACACCGTCCAATATTCATAGCCCCATCCTAATTGCACTTGTAATACACATTTATTGCGGAATGAAACGAGAGGCGACTCTCATCTCTCTCTCTCTCTCTCTCTCTCTCTCTCTCTCTCTCTCTCTCTCTTTTGGAGCAGTTGTTTTGATGTGTGGCGTTTCGATATAGATTCCAATGGTTTTGCTCTCCGTTTGCCATTGTTGGCTTGCCTTGCCATTTGTTGACAATATGAATTTAATCGATCAAAGTGATTGTTTACTGCCTCACGTTGTTGCAGCCAGATTACAGTGCACCGTGCACCGCGCACGTCTGTTCGCACTGATTTTTTTTGCCCAGAAAAACCGATTGAATCATATTTACGGCGACAAATAAACACGCGCCATCAGCACAATATCAAACTACCGGATGATTGGTACATTTTCAGTTGTTATTAGGAATGTTTTTTTTCATTGTTGTTTTTATTTTGTGCCTTTAGATCGCTCGTATTATTCTGAAGCCACTACTGGATTGATCGTGAATGTGGACTTTTTTTCTCTCTGCGCAGAATTTTGCTGTGGTTTTCCCGTCGTTCCGTTCTCTTTTCGTGTCATCTCATGTAGCAATAGATGCATTGTGAACGGCGGAAAAACAACGCACAAATGGACACAACCGATAAAAATATGAAAAGGTTGAAACGTCAACGAATTGCCATAGTCTTCTGTTCCTTCTTCGTCGTCGTCGTCGTCGTTGTCTTTTTGTTTTTGTTTATGTTTTGATTGTAAGCATGCAAGGTAACAAATAGGCGCATCATCATTTTAAATTATAATGAATTGAACATTGTTAGCGTTTTATAGCTTAAAACGTTAATGTCTTTTGACCCTTTTTTCTGCGCGCTGCCGCACGTTGTGACTCGCCGATTTCAACTTGTCTCTCTTGGCTTGTTGTTGCTTATTTCTCCTTTTACTGCTTCTTCTTCAACTCTCGGTCCGCTGCATTTGCAGTGACGCGCCTATGATTTAGTTTTTTTTCCAGTTGCACAGAAATCGATCGGATTCCACAACGCAGAAAAAAGTGCAATTACACGCGCGCACAGTTGAATTGCCCAAGAATGTGCAAGCGCAATCACACAATGTGAAAGAAAACAATCACTCGGTGAAATGCACACTACGGGGTTTATTAATTTATTTTCAGAGCAATTTATAAAATTGATATCAACTGTCATTTGTGCATTGAATTATGGATGAACGATTAATTTGTCGACACACACAAACACCAGCACACAGAGAGAATCAAAACAACGACAAACCAAATCGCTCTGATCGTATATAGATCATTTGTCAGTGTGCATGAGATCGGGGAGCATTTGTTGAGTTGATTAAATGTAGGTAACAATCCAAATCATCACAAGCAAATTCATTTTGAAATACGAGATTTACACGATCAGATTAGATGTGATCTTTACAATATATACTACATTTCAAAGCAAATTGCCTTCAAGTGTTTTGCCTTTTTTTTCTTCTTCTAGAGATTAAGCAATGATCTTTGTAGGTGATACGCTAGGTTTTGTTTATGTGGGAAAAAATCGATTATTGTTTGAGGCAAGAATTGATTTAGTCAGAGCAAGAAATATGACCGTTTCATTGGAACTATTTAGAATATGAAAGGAGAGCACTTTTTTTTACAATTATTTCGACTTTGTGTGAGAATAAACGTTTATTTTGCATCAAAATTTGTCCTTTCTCGAGACAAACTTCGAATTTTATTGCCGTTTTCATGCAAAAATATTCACAAATTTCAATTATTCGTGAATTTTTCGTGTGAATTACTCTCTTTCATTTAATAATGCTTCATACATACCGGAAAGTTGTCTATTTGCAAAAAAAAATTCTGACTACTCACCCAGAAATCTGTTTTTTGTTGAAAAATCAAAATTTATTTTTAAAAAAAACTACAAAACAACCGGTCATCTAAGACAAAAACTGCATTTCAGCTTCGTTTTACAAGCATTTTCAAATGTTTGATGAAATGTCCAATGGCCATCAAGTTGCATTCTCATGGTGTCCAAAGAAATCGACTATGGTCAGAAATTGGAATTCAAATGAAGTCATCAGTGAGTGATGCCAAATATAGTTCTTTTTTTTCTCGTGTGATTGTTGCTCAGAATCAAAAAGGGAGAAACGTACAGACCGGGAGAGAGATAGAGATAGAGAGAGCGAAAATAAAAGCGTTGAAGCTGCTCAATGTCTACTGACATTTGTTTGATCGTAAAATCGTGCAAACTGCAGCTGCCGTGCCGATCCAAGTTGCCATATAGCCAATTCCTTCATAGCATGTGCATTTAAAAACAAAAAGTCGAACACACGCTGGCTTTTCGTGCTGACGATTTGCGCAATAAAGCTCAATGAGTCCAGATTTTACAAACGCGATAAACACGATCTCTCATCATCGGCAAAAATTATTCAGAACGAACACAAGAGACAACTCCCTGTGTGTGACGACGATGATGATGATGATGATGCTGTTGAACACAACACAAGCGCATAGCACAGTAAGCGTAGATCGCAAACGATCAAAATCATGTCAAATAAAATTTATCATGATCGCATATTTATGGTTGTCACGGTGAGAGATTGCTGCACGATGAGTCTTGGCTAAACGCCAAACCGATTTCTGTAATTGAAATAGTAATTCGACTTTATGTGTCTTTTCACTTTTATGATGTGTTTTCACCTTCGGTTGTGTTGCTGTCGACTGCAATGAATGAATTAATTAAGTTTCTGACATTGTCCGCCTACAATTCTATTTTTTCCCCGCTTTTCGAGTAGTAGTGGCAAGAATAATTCCGACAAAAAAGATATTTTCTCTTCAAAATGAGGTAAAATGGTCGGGAAACGCGAGCCGAACCAATTTTGGTCGGAACAAACCGTGAACGACCAATGATGGTACTTATTAGATTTTAAGTATCGACAAAATTCAAACTAATTGGCAATCGACTGGGGCCTTTGTGTTTAGCGTCGCGCACAAATCCACTTGAGAATCAATTGTGTGCACGTTAAATGGCATGCACAATTCACAATTCACAATTCCACATCTCTCTTGCTCGCTCTTTCTTTCGCTTTCGTTTCTTTCTCTATCTCGCTTCATCTTATTCCATTTCGAGTGTTTTATCATCCATATGCATTTTATGTTGTGCAGCAAATACACACTCACACACATACACATCGTTTGGTTTGGCTTTTGTTTCAATTCATACCGTCTGTTATCACCGAACAACGGCCTTTGAAATAAGATCGATCATTTAGCTGCAAGTGAGCGCAGAGCGCTCGCGCGCAAACGTTGGCTACAACGCAATGGCATGGTGAATTGACATATTTTATTTATACATTAAAAATATTTGGAATAATTTACGCGTTCACAAGCCAAGTAAGCCAAAATGAACGAGCACAGTAGTTGCGATAAGCCGGCAAAGAAGCGGCAACAACAACGGCAGCAACAGCACTGACAATAACAACAGCGACAACAACGAAAGAGTAATGCAATTGAAGATGTATTGAAATTCAAACGATCGCCTGGCGATTATTTATTCGTTTTCTCACCCAAGAGCGCACAAACCAAAT